CTGAATCACAACAATATACAATGATATGTAAATGAATCACAACAATATACAATGATATGTAATAATTTCTGCTGAATCACAACAATATTCAAAGACATGTAATAGCTTCTGATGAATCACAACAATATTCAAAGACATGTAATAGCTTCTGCTGAATCACAACATTATTGAAAGACATGTAATAGCTTCTGATGAATCACAACAATATACAAAGACATGTAATAGCTTCTGATGAATCACAACAATATACAAAGACATGTAATAGTTTCTGCTTATTTTTTAATCTATATCCCAGCAACATTTACTGCTTGTTGAATATATTAAAATGTTTAAGTTGGGGAATTTGTAGCCCATTCTCTTTATGTAGATATTATCAGCAGAATAATGACATCACATCCTAGAACTCAACCAAAACAACTAGAAATCGTATTTTTCTGTTAAGTGTAATTATGATAATTTATTGTAAAAAAAAAGGTGGAAGTTATGTAAAAACAAACAATTTAGAAAATGTGTAGTAAAAATTTTTTTGGTCATGGAAACCATAACCCCAGCCTTGTTTGCAACGTTTCGTGAGATAACGAGCAGGATTCGAACCCATACAAGTTAATATAACTTGTGTTTTTGATTGACTATTAAACACTAATGTTCCAGTTCAACCGTTTATTTAATCATCTAATGCGTACATATTTAACAGTTATATGGATTCCAATCCAACTCCATCTTAGGTTTTGATACTTTTTTTATGATTCAAAAATATTGATTAGAAACAGGCTCATTTTGCTAAACGCACATTTTTATTAATTTCATAGAAACACATACGTATTAAAAGTTGAAAATACATTAACAACACGCTAAATTAATTTGGCAAGCTTTTTTTTTCTAAGGTTTATCACCAATAAACCGGAAGATAAGCCTAGATTGAGTTGAAGTTTTCTTAAAAAGCAATTTATTTTAAAAAGTTTGGTAATATTTTAATGATACAAAACTCTGCTAGATTACATAGAGCGATTCTTCCACGAGATGGCGTGGGTGTAATAGAAAAACAAAGTTCGTTTTACAGCCTCATTTAAAATGAGAGAAAATTAGATTAATTACAATTTCACGGGTTGAAGTGAAATAACAATGATTATAAGGATTGCAGAGAGACAAGAAAGAAATCCCAAGAATAGATTAAGTGTATGTACAGAAAGCTTTGATGTTTCTCAAACACCCCATCACCAAAGTCTCGAGTGAAGCACCCCCTCGTGTATTTCGCGCACTAAGTTCACAAAATATTGTTAAGAAAGCCTAGACATTTTGTGTATATAGTTATAAGATATATAATATTTTAGACAAAACAACAATATTTCATTTTACGGCACACATATATTATTTAATATTTGATCCCACAAGTAGTCCTTGATTTTTCTGTAATTGTTCCCAATAAAAAGACATACCTGACCTCCAGAAGTCGTTAAATTTATTCTTCGAGTTCGTGATTTATCCTCAGGATTTTTTTTTATTTTTTGTAATGAAAGGCGACAATTTTCATGCTTCGCAGCAAATGTACGTCTGGTCGTGTTTGGTGAATTGATTACATTTCTAAACGATGAATATTCTCTGATTACATATTATTCAGTGTTTGGTTTCTGTATTCACATTCCTCATCTTCTCGAGGGCGCCTCCCTCCATTTTATCTTTTTAACAGTAACTCACAGGACACTGAAAATATTCTGTACTTTGTCCTTATTGTTACCCGTACGGAAATCGAGCATTTCTGTGACTGACGGATTGTTCAATAGTCTCTCTCCATTGGTAGTCGAATAACAGGTATCCCCGCTGCCTGAGCTATCTGCGGTTGATGTTGGCTGTGCGATCTGTCTCGTGTTTGCCAATAATCTTCAACGGAATGATGTTCTTCATCGCTCTCCAGGGTTCTTCTTCTTCTATACTAAGTTGTGGAGAGAGGACTTTCCTCGACATTCTAGGGCTGGTGTTGTTCTGGTCTCGAGAGTAGTGTTGGTACATACGAAGATGCCCGTGTAGAAACCTTGAGGAAACGACTTCATATATCGGGTCACTTCGTGCGAACTCTCGGAAAAGACTGTCACTCTTTTCATCGACGCTGTAGTCACGCATAAGAAATCTGTCGAAACGCAGTCTATTCGAGCGAAAAAAGCGATGAAACATTGACGATTTTTCTCGGAGATCTTGCCTACTGTCTGAAATTGATTGTGAGTCAGAAAATGAGTCGCTACGCCATTGTAAAGCACCCTCACTTAGAGTTTGGGAGTCATGTCGGCTCTTTAAATACTGTCTTCTTTTCCTAAAGGCACTCTTAATCTTTTTCCGATCCCAGTTAAAGGAATCTCTATGATAAGTAAATAAGTGTTCTTTGCTGGTCTCAATCTTCCTCGTTAACTGTTCTTCTGAAGCTGTCTCTAAGGATTTGTTTGGTTCTTTGATGTCTGGGATACCGTTCACATCAGGCGAACCCTTGTCAAGAATACAATCCAGAACTGTAATCGTATCTTCGTCGATGGCAGGTTGGATTTGCTTTCGGCTTAGTTTGGGGGGTTTTCCGTTTCCATCGACAGACATGGACTTATAGCCACTGTCCGCCTTCATTTGCTGCAACTTGTGCGACTGCCCATCCCCTGTGCTGTCGGTGTTGTCTGTGGTAGTGGAATCCATGGATGTAGTGTGTCTACTGGCATCAGTGGAGGACCCCTCCATACTGTCCAAACTGTTGTCCGTGCTGGTAGCCACAGGCTGTGTCGGATCTGATGCATAACGTCTTTGGAGGCGTCTAGCAAGAAGATTTTTGTAACTATGTCTTCTGGACTCGTATGAGGGAAGTTCCAATACATTATTGGTTATTCTAGTTTGACAGTCCACAGGAGAGGTACATCCATCATCGGTGTACACAAGATCTGCATACGACTCAAACGAAGTAGCTTGTGAAGTGGCTAGATCTAGTTCAGGTGATTTTTCTGTGGCTCTTGGAGATCTTTCATCCTCTGCTAGATCACATTCTTCATATTCTTTATTACACTGTGTGTTTCCATTCTCTTTGACACATTGGTGCTCGTCCTGAGGTTCCTCGTCTTCTGTATGACAATATGACTCATAGTCCTGTTCAGCCTTTACGGTTTTTTCTTTATCAGTCAAAGTGGGACATTTTTCTTCATCTTCATCACATACCTCTGAGCTACTCAAGACCTTTTCATCTTTGTCATAGTCATCTAAACAACAAATGTCTCTCAGATCGTCATCTTCATCTATTTGTAAGATGTCCTGAAGTTCTTCTTCTTCTTCAAAAGTAGCTCGAAGCTCCCAGAGATCACGGTATTGTTGACGTTGAAACTCATATTCATCTTCAATTGATTTTGATTCTTCTATTTCCTCACTTTCTGGGGTGAAAATAACTATTTTTTCTTCTCGCACATCCTCCTTACTTCCCGTGTCGTTGTAACGAATCTTGTATGTTTCTATTCTCTCCTGCTCAGGTGTTGAAATATCTGAGCGACTTAAAAACGTTTTGAGATTTTCTTTCTGATATAACTCCAATTTATGTTCCAGAATTCCACTTTCTGTGCTATCAGCTTTGTGTAAAGAGGTCGGAACTTCCTTCCAGCCTTCTCCGTCCAATGTCAAATCCAAACTATAGACTGACCCTTTTCGGAGGTGTGGTTCTTCTTTTACTTGAAGGTGGGGGGAATCAGCTATATAATGGTCCTCTTCTACATCTATTCCCCCAAGGACCAGTGATTTGGAAGGGTCGCTCACATAATCATATTCTTCTAAGTTTATCCTAGCAATGACAGGTTGTTGTCCCGAGTTTATTACCCTAAAGTAGTCATTAAAGCCTATAGCGTATATGTTGGTCAATACAGTCTGTGAGGAAGCTTCTTTAGCATCGACACGTTTTGCGACTGACTCGCGTGGTATGACTGTCCTCGTGCTACTCGAGTCTAGCGAAGAATGAGAGTGGCTACAATGAGAAGATGCCTTTTCTCCTTTAGGAATCGAAGTTCCCGAGTGGTTGCTACCTGGCGGACTTTCACTGGTTATAAACACTGGCTGCTCTTCGCGATGATGAACCACTACCGACACCTTAGTTAGTCCAGTTCCTGTTGCAGTCTCCTCGGGAGAACTCTGTGCTCTCGATTCATTAGATTCTCCTATATCATTAGATGGCAAACTTTCACAAATTACCGATCGATCTGACCCAGTTGATTGACGCGGGAAAGGGAGTTCGGCATCTTCTGCATCCGATATACAGAGAGAAGCTTGTCTTTGGATACCACCACCAGATGACCTACGAGAGGTGCTCGATATGGAGGTGCTTCCTGCTGGACCCGGGTAGCTACAGAAAAACACATTTTTTATGATGTAAGCATCAAACTTATATCACGCTA